GGGATTACTAGGAAAAGATCGACCAAAGATGAAATTATTCTTGTCAATTTTTCCTTTTATTTATGGTTTTTTTGCAATTCTCAATGGGGATATTTCAGATTTTATTGAGATAACGTGTATTCTTCATGGTCACTTTAACAAACGAACTTTGGACGAGTCATTTTGATGAAAAAAAACAAAACAAAACTTTAACAGACTCATCTGACCTTTTCCCTAATAAAATTCTATACAATATGTGATATTGTACTGGAATTTCATGGAATTGTAATCCTCTTTCCTACTCAGGTTTTGGGTGATTTTGCAAACCCTCCTTAAGTAACTGTAACCCAAAGTCTCCAGAACCAAACGCCTATGTTCGCAAGCGGCAATAGTAACCCATCGAAACAAGTCCACCTGGTCGGAGAAGGAGTTAAAAACACCAGCTGGAAAACCCGTTAAGAATTATTTCATCTTTGCCCGATCTTTTTATAATAATCCCAAAATAGGAATTATTCACACTTAAGAATAACTACTTAGGGATGACACCCCATCCTGAGGACCCCCAACTCCGACCGGATGCCACGATGGGAGGATGTAAATTGGACTATAATGACAATCTGACAGATAGAGAGTGGGGCTCCGTTCCCGATAATAGGCTAATATAATTAGGAATCTACCTAATAGATATTAGGCAGATTCCTAAATATCTATTAGGCAGATTTCTATCAGGATTCTCACCAGATTCAGGACATTATTATGCATACATTATTTCACATGGTATCAAGAGCTTAGGTTTTTAGATACAGTTTTTTTTTTCCTTTTTTTTCCGGTTCCCATGAACCCTAGTACAGCCGCCGCCGCCTCGGGGTCAACTGCCGTCACATCTACGGCAGTTTGCGATCCTTTGAGGATGAGCGCAGCTAATATGGCGCAGATCACCTCCTTCGCGTCGCTGAACACGGTGCTTTCTTCCAGCGTGCCGTTGAGTTCGCCGCCTGCTGCTGCCTATGTCCGCGCAGCACCCCACCTTCTCTGCGTCGCTGACCACGGTGCTTGCGTCAAGCGCGCTGTTGAGTTCGCCGCTTGCTGCTGTAGACATCTATTCTCATGGAGATCTTATTGTTAAAGATGTGCCTTCTAATCTTCCGCTGGCGGATATATTTACTAAGAAGTTTTTTTTTTAGTTTGCAATTTCATTTTTTTAAAAGACAACCTGTGCGTTGTATCTCCCGCACAGTTTGAGGGGGTGTAATAGGCTAATATAATTAGGAATCTACCTAATAGATATTTAGGAATCTGCCTAATATCTATTTAGGAATACTTTGTATTTTGGCAACTCTTCTATTATAAATATATCTGTCAGGACTCCTATTGGAGTACCTCTTTCCCATTATTTCACACCCGGTACTTGCAGATGCCCTAGCATTTTTCAGCATAGTAACCTCTCATCGCAGTTCCCCGGATTCATCCCGGGACCTAACCCTTGTGGCACTCCCTCGCTACCAGTTGAGCTACGCCCACCGGTAGCGTGTATTCTTGAGCTATTACCTCGCTACCAGTTGAGCTACGCCTATCATGAGATGACGTGTATTCTTCATGGTCGCTTTATTTTAAGAAACGAACTTTGGACGAGTCATTTTGATGGAAAAAACAAAACTAAAAACCTAAAGGTAGTTACCCCAGGAATTATTTATAGTTTTTGTTTATTTGAAAGAAAGTTTTAGTTTCGACATCTTGGTATATTAAACACGAATCGAGATGGCCTATAAAAAGAAATAAAAAGATCACATAAAAAAGGCTGAAAACAGAATATTGAAAATCATTTTATGATAACAAAATTCCAAAAGAAATTTCTTTTATGAGAAGATTCATTTATCATGTAAAATTACGAGAAAGAAAACCCACTTATACAGAGAAAGCTTTGAATTTAATCTTGGACTAACTAAAATGTTTTTTTATTCTTACGACATGGTTTTGATGGGTTGTGGACGGAAGTAAATGGGGGAAAAGGATGTGAAAATGTGAAAAATAAACATGTACGGAGTTTGTTGTTCATTTGGATAAGAAGTGATAGTAGAGGAACAAAAATGGGTGGAACCCACACACAAGATAAATCTACCTAACAATCTCACATGTCAAAACTGGAGATGAATGGTACGGAGTATTAAATCTACACAAAAGATAAAGGGAAGGGAAAGGGATAGATAATCTACCTAAGAAAATATGTGGACTTAACTCAATTGCTGATAAATGGTATTAAATGGGTAGATTAAATGCAATTTTGCCTACTAAGAGAATAGTACAATCTGAGAAAATAATATTTTATTAGCTACTACCTCCGTAACTTAAAAACCTTCTCATTTCAAAAGTAGGTAGATTAAGAATAGTGAAAGATGATATGAATTATTGAGGGTATGATGAAAAGATAGTTGAATAATGTGATGGAATGTAGGATAAATCCAAAAAATGTAGTTGTAATAGTGTATTATTTTAAGAATTATTGGGGGTATGATGGGAAGATTGAGAAATGAGAAGATTTTTTTGTTACGGAGGAAGTATTATAATTATAATAATAATAATTCAATTCACTTTTCCACCAAATTATGGGTCGAGCTTTTAAGATAGAAATAATAATAACCAAAATAAAGGTATTACTTTTTTTCAATATTAGACTGTTTTACTTGGACTGTTTTATGAGAACAGAACAGAACAGATCAAATCAAATCAGACTAGATCAAATCAGACTAGACTTGAATAACTATAAAATACTCAAGATATCAGACATTTACCTGACAAGACCATACCAATTAGTATCTTCTTTTTTGGGAAAAGGTAGGAAAATGGGAGGTGAAGAAGTATATTAAAATGATACTACCTATCACCCTAACTTTAATACAAAAGGAAAAGGTGTGGTCACCAAGAAAAATAAGTTTATGTAGGGGTGGGCGCGGTCCGGAACAGTCCGGTAAATTAGTAAAACCTATAATGTATCCATGAGGTTTTTAACAGTCCGGTTCGATCCGGTTTTAAGGATGGAAACATTCGGTACCATGTCATTTCGGAACGGTACAAAACGGTACGGTACAATGCCAAACACATGCTAAAATTTTTGAACAAATCTTGCAATTAGTAGATATCATCACACCAACCAACTCACATGAAATGTTGATATAAATACAAGAAGTTGCATATATAGGACTAAAACTCACAATTAAAATAGTGTAACACAACTAAGAAAGAGTATAACAAAACGATGATGCACGAGATAAATATCATTCTTAATTTACTTAGTTCATGTGAAAATATAAAAAAAGAATATCATCAAATTGTTGAGTATAATACAAATCTTCAACGTTCTTCTTCTTCTTCATTCAGGTTAAATATTACTCTGTAGTTCTAATTTAATTTATAGTTGAACCTTGAGAGCTAAGATTTAAATCATATTAATTAAGTTGTAAAATTGCACAAATATGATACAACAAAAAGTCATGTACTCTAACATTACTAGAAATGAAGTCATTAATGATTTTTCTAAAATTTTAATATTCTTTCAATACATACCAAAATATAACATAAATTATCTAAAAAGTAAAAAATAACAATATATATTATATATATAAACTCACACATTTAGCTATTTTAAGGATGCATAAATACATACTTGGGCTATAAAAGAGATCTATTGAATTGGTATACAAAAAATATAAAAAATTCGAGTGCATTATTTTCAAACGGTTCGGTCCGGTTTTTTCGGTTCTCAAAATCTAGGACCGGTCCAGTACCCATTTCAAACGGTACGGTTTTGGTACGACACAAAAATATATAGAACCGTTTAAATACTCGGTATTCGGTTCGGTACCATTACGGGATGGTTCGGTACCGGTTAGGTTCGGGTTTTATGCCCACCCCTAAGTTTATGTGATTGGAATTGAAATGAAAAACAAATTCTACTAAATTTGGTGTAAGACAATCTTATCCAAATGAACCAAAATGAAAGATTGACAATTTTAACAAGACTGAGAAAGTATTAAGTTCATACAGTAACCCACCCTTCTAATAGTAGTTTTACTCATCCCCCAATCATGTTTCTTTAGTTTCTACTCCATTTCTTTCCATCCAAACAATTTAAAACACTCTATATACGGAGTATATTGCATATATTTTCACCAATATCTGTAATTTAAATGACAAAAAAAGTATAATTCCTTACAGAAATACACATGTGGCAACAAAGAATCTCCAACGTCAATTATAATTAAGGTTCATTGTACTGACGAGGAGTTGACAGATTTTATTTAATGTAATCTGCCACAAAAGATTTGCGATAACATGTCACTCACTAAGAAAAGCAACAAACAAATGCAAGTTGGATGGGGGAATCTGATCCAGAAAAGTGCTGCCTTTTCCTTAAAAATGCAGGATAGATAACATAGCATAATTATTAAACTTAGTTCCTAATCATAGTTTAAGAAGGCATGATTAGGTGTTTAAGAACCTTAATAATAAAGTTTCTAGCTGTTTATAAATTATATATAAATGTTTTTTGTTCATATATATCTCACCTACCGCATGGACGCAGAAGCTATTAGATAACTGGTGTCTGTCGCCCACCGACTGAACAATAGATTCCCCATTAGGGCCGCCCTTCAATTATTTTGTTCTCTACTATGCGCAGTTTTATGCTAGCTAATCCAACCAGATTAAGTATATCTTTCTTACCAAATTAAGTTCCCACTTTCCTTTTTGGGTCATCCCTAAATTAAGTTCACCCTTTAATATTTTCTTTATTTGGCAAATTATCTACATCAAAACAGTGTCAAACAGTGCAAAACAATGTCAAACAATGTCCAAACAGTACCAAATAGTGTTTAAACAGTGCAAAATAGTGTTCTCCACAGTAAAGTCAACTTTATTTTCTTAATATGTATGAAGTCAAACCAGGAACTTAATTGGGGGACGGAGAGAGTATATAATATTACCTCCGTCTCCTAAAATTGGTATAAGATGATGTGGTGTGATTATTTAGTTTATGTGATTGTGTAGAAATATGGAACCAAGAAATGTAAATTGACATTGATAATGATTCAGAGCTGTGGAAGAGAAATATTGCATATACTCCGTAATAAAATAACAGTGAAAGAATTAGAAGTGGTTTTCGTAAACAATGAGCAATCATCTCGTTTTAAGTCAATATAAACTTTTGGTAAGTTTACAAACTCGAGTGTCATTAGAGGGTAAATAACCTGGTGGAGGCTACACACATATATATTCTCATTTAAATCACCATGTAAAAAAGTAATATTCATATGTAATTGATGCAAGTATCAGTTTTTCGTGGAAGCAATAGCCAAAGGAACTCTAACAGACTAACAGTAGTCAATTTTACTGCAGGAGAGACAGTATCAAAGTAATCAAGTCATTCCTCTTGGGTATATCCTTTAGCATCTAATCTTGCTTTGTATCTATCTAAAGATCCTCCGGATTTTAATTTTGTTTTAAAAGCACATTTACAACCTATGGTGTGTTGATCATTAGGAGGTAAATTAACTGAAATCCACGTTTGGTTAGTTTCAAGAGCTTTAATCTCATCATTCATAGCTTTCTGCCATGCAGGAATTTTAATAGCTTATTTAAAGGTTTTAGGTTCAGTTATTTTTGGAAGAGAAGGTGTAAAACAATGATGAGGAGAGTTTAATCTAGTGTAGGTTATTTAATTTTGAATAGGTATCTCACAAGAATACAAGAGGATTTAGATATACCTGTGTCAACAGAATTAGGGCAGGTAACTGGTAATCTTAATCTTGTAAACAATTAGGTATATATCTTACTCTACTAGATTTTATCTGAGAATTATGTTCAATAGTAGCATTATTATTATTCTGTAATTAACTAGAAGAAATGTCACGATTGATAAGACTGAAATACATGAAACTGCAGGGATTGGGGCACAGCGATGCGAACTGCATCTAGGGCGGCACAGCGACTCCCGTGCGATTTTCGTCAAATCGGTGACCGCGTCTGGGAACGACATATTAGACAGTGGAAGGCGACAGGGACAAGGCGCCGGAGCAGCTTTGACTCGCGATGGGGTTTTCATCGTCGCGGCGGTGATATTCCATGGGAGAAGCGGCCTCTCAACCAATCTGGGGAGGCTTCGTCCCGTTTCTCCTTCGACAACCAGGCACGGCGTCGCCTTCTGCGGAACAGAGAACGTGCGACTACATATGGGGCAGAATCTGTTGGAAGAAATTTCTGGGAATCTCAGGTTTCATCGATTGGAGCTCGTAGACGAATCTGGCCTTCAAAGCGGCAGTTTTGGAATCGACATGGTAGCTCAGTTGGGTTTCAAGGTGGGAAGAAAAGGAGGTTAACAGAAGTTGGAGGGGGTGATTTCCTATCCGTTCCCATTATCACAGATGAGTTCGTCATTGAAAGTAAATTCTTTCAATTTAAAGTTATTGACAGCGCTTCTATTCGCATTTCTGAAACAAAAGAAGGAATTTCATCTATATTGGACTTAGATTTTGCTAGGCTTACTTATCTTGTAGTAAGCTAGAGCTGAACAAATCACTTATAGTTCGGTATGATGAAAATTACTTTGGGGGTTTTATCCAAATCATTGAAAAAGGCAGTGACTCTCTATTTATACCCGAGGGATGGAACGGGCAGGGGATTCATCTATTTCTTACAGGAATTGGAAAAACAATTGCATCGTTGAAGGAAATCGCTGCAAAATCACAGGCCGTTGGACATACTTCAGGTAAGGTTTTCTCTGATGGGGTGGCTTCCAATGACTTGGAATTTCTACCTTTTGATGGGAATAATCTTTATTGTGACACGGGAACCTCCATCTCGGGTGCATTACTACAAGTCGATATTGATTCATACAATCATTCTTCAGATTTGGTTTCGGTTGATGATGTTCGTAGTGGGGAACATATCCCCGATTCTGATGCACTTTTAGAACTTAAAGAATTTTTTCAAGTCACTTTGACAAATGGGGTAGATTCACTTTCTCATTTTTTACTTTATGAGATTGAGAAACTTCTTGCTGCTGCTTTGGGTAACCGAGACAATTTGCTTATAAAACCCATTGATGATGGAAAACCTTCTCGAATGCAAAATGATTCAGGGAAAGTTGATGAAAACAAGATTGGAGTTTTAGAGTCAAGGAATATTGGCATTGGAGGTGATCACACAGATTTTTGTTGGGATTATGCAAATTTGGACTGCATCGGTAATCTTAACGCAAATTTTGAGGAAGATTTTGGAGGATCATACTCTACACATTCAGGTGATGAATTCCTTGGCCATGTCTCGGAAAATGAGAAAAGGGTTCCTATTTCAACGGTAGATGATCTTTGGGATTCTGATACTAATGAAGTTATTTGTCAAAAAGCTTTGTTGGTCACACGAGATAACTGTTTGCCCACACAGAACTTGAACACTCAAAAGAGAATGTACAAAAAGAAGAATCAGAGATCACATCTTATGAGAACTAGATCTCAAACACGGGCGGGTCTTTGAAGATTCTACTTAGGGCTAGGGATTTTTAGGGAGTGATTCTATTTAGGGCTAGGGAAAGTTTCAACTTTGGGTTGGGTTCTACTCTTGTTTGTCTCTTTTTTGTTTGTTTTTCTGTTTCCGTATTTCTTTCATGTACTTTCTTTTGATTAATAAAATATTTTTTATTTAAAAAAAAAAAAAAAAAAAAAACTAGAAGAAATGTCACTAACAGATTTATGATTAGTATTGAAATTGGAAAGATTAGCTTCATCACTAATCTGATTTTATAAATAAGCATTTGGAGAATGCCTGTTGTTATTATGAATAACATGATGTTCATAATTATTAGAAGTATTGAAGCAATCATATAAAAAAGTATCACTATACTTGTGTAGAAAATCAAGATCAGTTGATCTGTTTGTAAAGCGGAAGTAGTAGAATTATTTTATAGGGAAAAATCATTTCATAGAACTTGACATTTCTAGTTTAACATTACATGAGAACATTTATGTTCATTTTATGTTACCTCTAACCATGCTATCTTGCATGACCTTCATACCAACAAAATGATTAGCTCTGCGATTCGTCTTATATACTCCATCCATTCCTGAAAAAACATCCCACTTTTCTTATTTGGTTATCCCTAATTTAACTTCTCATTTCTTTAAATGACAAGTGTAAGTGATTGAAATGTCTTAAATATCCTCAGCAAGACAGCAACATACTCTGTATTTACTCCACGCACCGCATCTGTCTACCTATCCCTTTGTATGTCTCTCTACCTTCTTCATCAAAATCTCTCTCTCCCTTCTTCATCAAAGTCTCCTTGTATCTCTGGTTCTTCAATGGCTCCCACAGATTCCGCAGATGTGTTACCAGCACAGGCTGAATCTAATAAGTCGTCCAGTAATGATTTGAACACTCATGCTACAAACCCTAACCTCTCTAGGGAAGTGGTGACCATTCCGGATCCGGCTCCGACCGTCTATGAGGACGAAACTGAATCTGAGACATGCATGGGGTGGAGTAGTTCAGAAACTTATTCAGGATGGGCTATATGCAAGGAATGGGGATCCGATTGCACAGAGGACATGTACGAGGGATCTTCATACTCAAACGGGGAAGAAGTGACCTCAAAGTCGTGGTCTCCAGATCCAATAGATCATGTGTTCGGTCACGATCGTTGTCGTCCTTGGATGCCGTTTTCTAATGGAAGCCCATAACCTAATCTAATCTCTTTTTCACTAAGTTATGATGTACGTTGGTTCCTTAATGTGTTATTTTTGTTAAAAACTATGGCTGAACTGATGCATGTGATGAATACAATTTATGTTAACCATCTATGAGTGATTGCCTTTTTCCTTAGTTCTTGTTTCCTTTTTTTAAGCCAGTTGCTAGATATCAGTGTGATGTACCCTCTGTTATGCCTAATTGTGTTGATTACCATGGTGATTGGCATATATGATGCATGCTTTGATTCAAATCAGTGTGATGTAGCCTTTGTTATGCCTGAATGTGTTGATTATCATAGTGATTGACCTATATATGATGCATGCTTTGATTCAAATCAGTGTCATGTAGCCTCTGTTATGTCTGATTGTGTTGATTCTCATGGTGAATGACCTATATGATGCATGCTTTGATTCAAATTAGTGTCATGTAGCCTCTGTTAAGCTTGATTGAATTGATTACCATGGTGATTGACCTATATAATACATGTTTTGATTCAAATCAGTGTCATGTAGCCTCTGTTATGTCTGAATGTGTTGATTCTCATGATGATTGACCTATATGATGCATGCTTTGATTCAGATCAGTGTCATTTAGCCTCGGTTATGCCTGATTGTATTGATTACCATGGTGATTGACCTATATGATGCATGCTTTAATTCAAATCAGTGTCGTGTAGCCTCTGTTATGCCTGATTGTGTTGATTCCCATGGTGATTGACCTATATGATGTACCCTAACTTGTGTCTGATTGTGTTGATTACCATGGTGATTGACCTATATGATGTAATTTAACTTGTCTCTGATTGTGTTGATTACCATGGCGATTGACCTATATGATGTAGCTTAACTTGTCTTTGATTCTGTTGATTACCATAGTCAATGACCTATATGATGTAGCTTAACTTGTCTCTGATTAGGTTGATTACCATGGTGATTGACCTATATGATGTATCTTAACTTATATTACCATGGTGATTGACCTATATGATGTACTACCCTTTGGCCTAATTGTGTTGATAACCATGATGATTGACCTATATGATCGATGTACTGTTGGTAGGCCTGATTGTGTAGATTACCATGGTGATTGATCAATATGATATATGATATGAGTTTTCTCGCACTTAAAAAGAGATCATAATATAGTGGTGTAAGTACGAGTATCGTCTCCACGGGGACGGACAAAAGGGAATCAAGAATTAATTAAATTCAACGATAAAAAGAAATAAAAAATGCAATTGTGCGAGATATGATTGGTATGAAAATTAAACTAATGAGAATGATCGATTAAATAAAAAGATTGGTTTTCTTCTCAATTAACGACAAAGGGAACAAGGTTTGATTCTGGGGTAACCGGATTTCTGGCAGATCAGGCCTAATTACATGAATTTAATTTAATTGAGCCTAGCTTATCAATACTAAGTTCTTACCGCTCTCGCGGCGTAAAGTACAACAATTTAGGGGACCAGGCTGATCTCTCATGCGACAAGATCCTAAATTATTGCCAAGACGAGCGAGATTACGGCCCCTTAATCGCTACTAATCTCTTAGCGAACGATTAAGTGTGTGTGAATGTGTCCTAGAATAAAATAGATCTCTCTTAATTTATTCTACAAGCAATTGTAATTCTAGCGGCCATTCTAGGTTACAAGAGATATCAGTTAAATTATTCAAACACAAATCAAACGGCATTCAGGCAATTAATCCATCAAGAAACTAGCCACACATCATGATTAACCCCATTCATCAATCCCAAATCCCTAATTAAACTACTCACAACTCATAATTGAAGAATCAACAGAATTGGGATGAATAGAATTAATTGTCATTAATTAAAAAGATTGAACTTAAAAATAATCCCAGGGTCTTGAAGAAAACAACAGAAAATGATGATAATTTCGTCCTTGGGCCTCTTCATAATGTTCGTAACCCTTAAAGAGGAGACCCTGTTTGAGGGTTTCCGGAGGCAGGCACGATGCTAGGCACGATCGTGCCTACCTCCGTGCCTTTGGAAGACGCGCATCTCGTACGTAGGCACGATCGTGCCTCCCTAGTTAGGCACGATTGTGCCTACCTGGCAGTAGCTCCGCGGTGCATTCCTTCTTCACGCACGATCGTGTGTTCCTCCAGGCACGACCGTGCGTGTCCCGTTCTTCACCATTTCTCTAGTCCGAATTTGACAAAACGTTCTTCATGAAAGTTGTAGATAATGAAGTCCTCTATCCACACAACTTGCAAAATTGGATATGAATCATCCAATCAAAAGATATGAATAAAATGGTGGAGGGTGGCATTCTGAAATCGCAACAGAGATCATCTGACTTCGTTGTCTGTTTTCACCTTGCACCTCTCAGATTCTCAAAACGGTGTCTTCATATTATTTGTAGCCCTTGAAGTTTTATTTCACATGGAACTTGAATCGTGTTCTTTGGATGTTTCTACAAAGAGATATGTGTGAAATACTAACAGAACATCATCCTGATCGTCGTTTTCAAGCTCTATTCATCTTCTTTTGATCCCGTAGCCAATCCTAGAGCTCTTTTAACATCAAATCTTCATCTTGAACCTCCTGGTGACCTCCAAAGCTCTCAATTAACTCTCGAATGCATCTCAAATCATCTCGATTGCTCCTCAAGTGCCGGTCCCGGACTCTAAATTCCTGATTTTGACTCTAAACGACATAAAACTCGAACCAACGCCTGGTAAACATAACTTGAGCTAAATTTTAGAATTGCAACACCTTAAAGCTAGCATAACCATCAAAAGCCGATCCCAGCACGCATCAAATGCGTGTCAAAATACGAACTTATCAATGTATTTCCCCTAGGCTTGATTGTGTTGATTACCATGGTGATTGACCTATATGATATGTGATTTGATTCAAATCATTGTCATGTAACCTCTGTTATGTCTTATTGACCTATATGATGCATGACTTCATTGAAGTGAGTGTCATGTAGCCTTTATTATGCATGAACTAATGATGAATGGGGGTTTTATGTTCTTAAACATTAGGCTGTAGTCAATTATCTTATGGTATAGCTTGTGCCACCCACTTAAAATGAGTGTTGGAGGCCAAGCTTGATGGCAATGTTAATGTTTAGGCAGTACATTCAATAGTAAAGGACTATCATTGAAATGGAATTTAAGGCATTACATACAAAAATAAAGGTCTTTTGCCACCTATGGCAGTCCATAAAAAAATTATGTACTTTTGCCTCCTATGGCAGTACATACAAAAATAAAGTACTTTTGTCACCTATGACAGTACATACAAAAATTATCTTTTGCCTCCCATTGTGTCTATACAAAAATTAATGTACTTTTGCTACCTATGGTTGTACATACAAAAACAAATTTGAGTTCATTCTTCAAGAACATCATGATCTTCACTTATGAACTCACACTTCCTAGGCATGCTATTATGCTTGTGTCCCTCCTGTATGCATGTGAATCATTGTTGCTCTTGCTTCTTGTACTAGTGCAAGGGTGACTTGTACATTCTTGGGTAACAAACTTTGTCTTTCAAGTCTGTCTTTGCCTACATGTTTCAGCTTGTAATGATTTCCACCATTATGCTTTAGTATTTCTTCCATCACATATCGATAGCTTAGGAAGACTTTGTTCAAATTTGATGGTGTCAGTTCATCAAAAGCTGTAGAGACTGCATCTGGTAACTAAGCAATTGTTTCTGGGGCTTTTTGTTTTTTAATTGTGTCTATAGCTCTGAACAAGCCCAAATATAAGACAATAAGATCTTGGCTATTAGGTGGTTGAAATGTTAGTTGTATGTCTCATCCATTCTCTGTTACACTCTTAACAAACTCTACATCTTTTACATCTATGTGTGATCTTGCATTGTCCTGCTGAATTATAATCCTTTTATTTAGTGCATCTAGCAACTTGGACACTTAGAGTAGGCTTTGTCTCTCATGTGCCTGCACATCTATTCTCACTTGAT